CTCTGAAGATAGAACGATGTTTGTTTACGAAAAAAAACAAAAAGGGTTGCTTTTTCGTATTTGTATGTACAACGAAATTTAAAGTTTTTTCAAACTCTAAACTCAATCAACATCGACTCTATTTTTGATTATATTGATAATCCTATTCTTAACTGTTTAGTATACCCGGTCAGACAAAATTTTTCAAAAACGCGTTTAAACGCTACAATCGGGAACCGCGATTGTGACCCATTCACGCTTAAAAACAAAACGCCGTTTTTCACGTTTTTCGCGTTTTTTTGCGTTTTATTTTCACTTTTAGAGCGTGAAAACGGTGAAAAAGCTCTAGTTTTTAGTGTTAAAACGTGCCTTTATTTCTATAATTTTCCAAAATATAAAAACAACGCCTTTTAACGCTCATTTTTTGAATTTTTCCCCGTTTTCAGACTCTGAATGTGAAAATTAAACGCAAAAAACCGAAAAAACGTGAAAAACGGCGTTTTGTTTTTGAGCGTGAATGGGTCAGAATCGCGGTTCCCGATTGTAGCGTTTAAACGCGTTTTTGAAAAATTTTGTCTGACCGGGTACCAATGAAATAAATGTAAAACAAATAGTTCTTCTTCATGATGAAGGACAATAAGTACCAAAGAATAATGTTGTTTGACGTATTCACACATACTTTCATGTTTAAGATCTTGGAAATGTAGGTGTTCAACATGCTGATCAAATTGCTTGTGTTGATAATCTTATTCTAACACAAAATAAAATAAATATCTATCTTAATACTTACCCGTATTGGCAAATAATAGATATATTAAATGAATTAGAAAATGATGTTCGTATTCGTCTCATCTTCCTGCTGCAAAAATGCTAACATTTGTCATAATTAATTACTATTGATTATGTTCATCAAGTCTTAAGAAATAAATATTAATTTTCAATCTTGATTATTTTAAATGATATCTAATTGAAATTGTCTCACGAAAGGAATTTTTATCTGCTGGTATGGCATAGAATTTTAGACATTTGCTGAATGTAGCACGGAAAAGTTGCCCTAACATTTGATTTTGACTATTAGTGAATCATATTTTTGATTGGCTTTAATTTAGTATCACATTTGTTATTGATGTCATTTGAAATTACTGCATTATTTTCCTCTGGAAAAATACTTTTATACACCCTGTATATTGCTATTTTCAGTGGACACTTTCAATCAATAAGAAAAAACAAGTCTGCATAGTGATAATGTAATAATTGAAGAGCGAACCTTATCTATGGTAATTATAAGATTGTATCACATGGATGCACATTTTTCAACGTTCTGCATGAATACTTTCGCTATGTGCACAAATAAAAACCAAGGCAAAGCAAACATACTTTTGACTATCGAAACAGTCAAGGATGCGGTATACCGTTGAACGAAAAGTTTATTTCATATAGATTCGGCAGTTATCAATTTGTTTTTTTTTGTTATTGTTTTAGATAGTTAAAGTCTCTACAAGAAGTGTTTACCAATTTGAATATTTGACGAAATGGCAAGTGAACCTGTTAAACAAATAGGCAAAGTTGAATTGACTGAAAAACAAATCGATGCTCTGACGAGAAGGTCACATCTGAGCGAAGCAGAAATTCGAGAAACATTCGGTTCGTATCTCGTAGCATAGTTGTTATCTCACTCGTAAACCTCTCTAAAGTAACATTCATGATCAGAATTAAATTTGTGAGGAATTATTCTATCAAACTAGACAAAAACAGTTAAGCATGAAATTTAATCCTAGAAAATTTTCAATGACTTTTTTTAAAGTTTTGATTCGAACTTCAATTGACTACATTGTTCATTTGTAGAAAACTTTCGTGCAACTGTACCCAGTGGTCAACTCACGAAGGAAGAGTTTGTCAAACTATGGAACCAAACATCAGTTAAAAGCAATGATTCTGACACTTCTGATATAACCGAACGAGTCTTCGCATATTTCGATCGAGATCATTCTGGTAAATTTTTTGTAAGCAATTTTTCTTTAGATGATTATGTCGTTGTTGTTTAGGAAGAGTCGACTTTAATGAATTTCTGATTACTTCTTGTTTGATGACACCTGGTACGCCGACACAAAAGCTTGCACTATTGTTTATTATATGTGATTTCAATCACGATGGTTTTCTTTCACGAGATGAGATTGAAAAAATTTTTCTTCTAGCTAAACCAACTGGTAAATCGGTCGATCAGCAGGAATTTGAAGCATTCAAGAAACATTTAAATACAATCTTTGCAGACTATGATGTGAACAAAGACAGAAAAATTTCTCAAAAGGAATTTCGTAATCTTTGCACGCATGATGAAATTTTCAAAAAGCTGGTAGCCTGATTCATTTCAAAGTTGATAGCTAAATCAAAACTTATTACACAAAAACAATTCCAACCCTCGATAGAACCATTATTAAACTTAAATAATTTATTCATTGTCATGCATTTGTTTTCCAAAACAAATGATATAGTAGATAGAAATAAGTAAAACATGCGTACTGAACTGTCTGATCTGCTTTTCTTTTTCTAATACCAATTAATTTGATTTTACATAATTTGCATCAAAATGTCCAACTTTCTGCCAATTTTTTACAGCCTCACGGTAACTTTGAACAGAAACAGAATTTTGAAACATGATTTGCCTTTCTCTGGCAGAAAATAAAATAATAATAAACAGATAATGTTGTTGCAAGATGAATAGAATTGGCCTATGTCTTTTGAACCGGCAAAAAACCATCAGTTAACCGGTGGCACACATAGGTAATCTATAGTTAACAGCAGCCAATTGACGATCCTTTATCACTACCGTCTTACAATTTCTCTCATCCAGTAAGCATAGTTTCCCATTCACGGTGGTTTTTTTTTGCAATGAAAAATTTGTTCGTACTTAATAGAAAAATCGTTTTTATTACAGTCTGTCAAAAGCTTGAGCGTCCGAAACTAAAAACAGTCTTTTGCATCATTGAAAATCCTAGGAACTAATGATCTCTGGTCTTCATAATGTAATTTTTGCTAGAAGTATTTCAATGTCATGCCTGTCAACCGAACGACAGAAAATATAAATAGAATGCGCATGTACAATAGTGTCAGATGGCGAGAAAGGTAATATAATGGACAAGTACAAGCCATAAAAGGCTAACAAGTCACTTCTTTCAAGATTTTTTTGATAAACGGGAGGTGGACGTTCAACGTTTTGCATTAAAATTGCGTCTTTGCTACAAAACTTCAAACAAGCTCCGGCTCTTTGTCCTTATAACAGGCAGAGTTCCTTAGATACTCACATTAAATTATACTTTGAATCCAATTTGATATCGGCATGTAACGAAAAATCTTGTCATCCCATATATGGGACACCCTTCGCGAATGGGTCATATCTAATTTACTTTGTAAATCAAAACACAATTTTTATTTATTAATTCATATTTACAATTAAATCAGCTGTTGGACGAAACCTAAATTTAAAAAAAGTTAATTTTTCATAAATTGATATTTACATTTGATTCAATTGTTGAACCAAATTGAAATTAAAAATATCCAATTCATCTTTTCGAGTATCAATTATGACGATTAATCATGAGAATATGAATATAGATCTTTTTTGGTGCATATCATAGGATGACATTTAAAAATCAAGCTACAACTTTATATTAATGCGTTATACTTGATTGGAACAGACTAACTCGATGAGTAACTTTCTTATCAGAGGTGTCAATGGGACAGGGTAAGATCTTTATACTTTATGGTACCATGCAAACTAGACAATCAGGTTTTCGAATTTTTATCATGAAGAAGAGCGTCTTTTTAATCCTTGAGAATCATAAATCAAAATAAAAGACTTCAGGGCGCAGGACCAACTGATATTCCAAAATGTTTCTCTGTGGATCTACATTCAAGTCAATTTTGCCAAATATGAGTATCAAAAATCCAAAATGTTAATACAGAAATCCGGAAAATAGTCGAGCTTCTTTTTCGAAATCCAGAACGTCTTTCAGGTATCAGTTTTAACCGGTAAAACTATTTTTTTATTTGCAATTAGATTATGAATAATGCTATTCTTTATTTCCATATGTAAGTTCCGATGAAACAAAAGACAATATACATCAAAATATAAGTAATTCAGATAATAAGAGTTTCTAAAATACAGATTTCAATATCAATTAACATTTAACACGGTCTTTTACATAATATTTTTCTCTGGAATAAATTAGTTTCAACACGTCTGAATGAGCTCAAACAAAGCTTCTATTTATCGGGAATAAGTTCTATTGAAATACGATTTTGTTGATCATCTTATAAATTTTTCATGATCGAATAGGAAAAAGCAGAGAAAACATATGTAAGAATGAAGAAAAATACTTTATTCATTGGACGGGCTAAGAGAACGAACTGTTCAACCTCTTTTCAATCATAAAATATTATTGGGTACGTCAACAAAACAAGCGAAACAAAAATTACTTGAAATCCAGAAAGATTCCATAAAAATCTTCAAAATCCTGATGTTTTCTGGAAAATCCATAAGTTCTGAAGGAACATGGTAAAATCAAGAAAATCTTGTAAGCGTAGACCCTTTAGGGCTGAAATGTGAAACTCACATATGCCATCTAGCCTCATTAAACTAATACAAAATACGTAAAGTGATAAATATCTCGTAGACTACAGGTATTTGGCAGAATACTCGATGTCCAGAATAATGAACTCTCTAACTTCTGCATTGGAACAGAATTTTTTAATTTTTTTTCTACGAATATTCTATTTTTTATTTGCATTGTTGCTATTCGCTCATTATTTTTCAATTCTTTTTTCTTAATTTAGCATTCTTATTGTTACAATCACTGAAATAATTGACAAATAAGTCTGTTTTACATATTCATGATATCTACAGCAGATCTTACGCACTATTATATATATTAATCAACTCACCAATAATGATATTCACTATTTTTCAGATTTACAACTTGATCGATTTTGCAAAAAAAAAACTCTAGAAAATCTGACGCTTATTATTCTCGATTGCTAAGATCTGTAATGAGGAGAGGGGAGCCACGAAAACTTGACCTTAAAACTTACACTCAGTATTATTTTCGAAAATATATGTGAGTTTCAGAAAATGTGTAAAATGACTATCGAAAACTTTTATTTGTATTTTCTTTTTTTTGGAATTTATGAAACTAAACGAAAACATTAAGTTATAATTTCTGTTTCATTCGATATGGATGATGATACGTGCCTAATATCTACTTTTGATTCTACTGCTACATCGAATATGTCCTCTTTTTGTCCATACACATACTCTAAAAATAATTACTTTTTGAATTTAGAAAAAAGGTTCTAATGTATTTTGTCGCAGTGATATATTCAATTATTCTTTCACTAATTTTGGCTGCTTCTTTTGCTGCTTTTATTGTAGAATACATTTATATGAAACAATATTATATGATACAGTGAGAAAACAATTTTACTTTTCAGTTCAATCAGAAATGACAATCGAGTGACATTGTCAATTTGACAGGGTAACCTACTCAATTCACTGGACCATGGCTGGGCAGGGCAGGGTGTAAAAATATCACCGTGTGGACACCTCTACATCTTATAAACTCAGAAAATACTTCTACAATCTTTACCGTTCTGAATATGAATGTAATTAAAAGCGTGACATGACAGTTG